TTTAGTTTCAGAAGAGGAGCTCTCTGCACTAATTTTGTTATGCGATTCAAAAGCGCTCAACGAAATCCATATGATTTTACTTTTATATTTTTTTAATTTATCATTCTAATAAAAGTAAATAAATAATTAGTTAAAATATACAATTTAAGCAATAATTTATATTAAGATATATTTATTTCCTTTTTATAAAAACTATATTAACTACTAATAATTAAGTAAAAAAATACATTAAATATATATAAATTATATTAACAAATTTATTGATAAAAATGATCCACATATGTTTTATACAATAGTGATTGACAAAAATAACTCTACATTGATCTTATCATCCACTTCTTTGTAAACAAGCACTACAAGATATATTATTGGATTGGAGAAAACTTTGGTTCTTAAGTGACCATCCAACTGAATTTTAATTATTCTTTACATCATAATAGACTTGGGATTGACCAAACAACAAATTTATACTTATATATTTGTAATACAAATCATGAAAATCTAGATGAATTTAAAAATATTTTTTCATTAGTACATAAATATATAGTAAATTAATCTCAAAACATATTTTCATTAGATTACAAGATAAATATATACAACTAAAACATAGTCAATCAAACCACTTTTAAAGAACATTAAAATAAATTTGTCTTATGTAAGTTAATTAGGATATTTGATGATAATAATATATTTAACATATTATTGACTATGTAACAATATCCATTTAAATGAATATTTTCAAAGTTTAATAAATTTTTATTAGACTTAGGAGAATAAAATATATTTTTAAGTTCAAATAATATACATTTCAAATTTTGTATAATTTGTTTAGTGTCCCTAATAATCTGTTTTTCCAATAATTAATATTATAGAGGATAAATACCGAAAATATGTCCTCCCAACTACAATTTCAGGTTTATGTCTATTAACCCGAATTTTTTTCACAATAGTTATTTTAATAATTTTAAAATATTGTAAAGAAAATATATATTTAAAAATAATTATCCTTTTACAGTATTTTTTTTAATTCTAATGAAGTATTTTAGACTAATAAACCATAAATCATATGACACATTTATTGGATATATATGAATTAAATCATTGTAAAAAATCATTTTAAATAGAAAAATATATTTCAATAATAGTGACTAATTTATAAAAAGAAAATTATTATCACCAATTGAATTAGAATGAAATGCTTTACATAGTAAGTTTTTTTTTCTTTTATAAATCATAATCACAATAAATACATCCCACATAAATATTATAAAAATTGAGATAAAAATAAAATATTAAATTATATAAACTATTTTATGAAACAAAAATTATATAAGTAAATATTAAAGCGGTTGGGAGACAACTAAATACGTACAATTTTTGCTGCTCAAAAGGTCACTCCTTCTACCCAATTGGAACACTAAAATTGTTGCTTTTTTTTTCCCTACATTTAGCTTCAATCCTAATTTCTCTTTATAATTATCTTTTAACGTAAGGTTTGGGCTTTCTTTTCCGTTATTCATATTCAGTTGCTGATTTTTATCTGAATTTTTAGATTATTACCGAGTTTCTAAGATAGATTCTCGAAGGTATAACAAATCGAAGCATCTCACCACGTGTCTGATTAATAAAATAGGCCACGTCATGAGCCCCAGTCGTTCGGACACTACAAATTTAAATGTATTAAACAATTGAAAAATAATTAATATATTTTAATGCATTTGATTACTATAATTAAATTTGATTACGAAGCAATTGTAAATATTTTTAATTCAAATAATTTCAAACAAATAATTCAATAATATTAAAGCATTAAGAACATGTAATATTGTTTTAAGCATAATTATATAAAAAATTTTAATGCTCTTGTCAACTTGACCAATTATTTCATTTGATTAAGTAAAATATAAAGAAAAATTATATTAATTTGATTGAGTAAAATGTAACATATAAGAAATATTAATATGAATAATATCTATGATTATAATTAGAATCATCATTCTTATAAGTAAAATCTATATGATCATAATTAGAATCATCATCTAATAAGAAAAAATATTTTTTTCTTTTATTTTAAGTGATTTCTTATTAATACTTTAATAAGATATTTTTTATGTACAATAAATAAGAGATCAATGAACTTTATCACTATAATAATAATTTAACTTATTTATTACTTTTTTCCTTTTTATTATTTTATTTTTGGTGATGTAATCTCAAGATCACTTTTACAACTATGATAACTAAAACAATCACGATTATGACCATGAATATCATACTTTTTATAATATAATGAAACATAACAATAACATATTACATTCACATCTTGGGAATGAAACATCATAATAAATATTTTTCACATTCACGAAATGAACTATAACAATTTATTTATGAGAATTGGATAAAACTAATATTGAGAGTCTAGTTTTTATAAAACATTCATTATTTTGTTCATAAAATTTAAGTAATAAAAGATTTGACATTATCATGGATATAAATAATAGATATTCAATTTTCTTGATATTCAATTTTCTTGTATTTAACCGTCCGAGATACTTCTTTGGTTATCTGATACGGATTAACAATAGATTTTTAACAAATAAAATCATTTATGGAAGAGAATATGATACTGTTTTCAAATAAAAAATTGAAGATATTATGTTAAGAGTTTTTTTCATTTACAAGTTTTAGATAATCTCCCTTTTAATTATAATTTTCTTTTATATTGATATAACTTACTTAAATGACAAATTATAAATACTTAAAATCATATAAATAATAATAATAAAGATTAATAAAATAAATTAACAATTAATAATAATTCATAACATATCTATTTTTTTCTACTTTTATTTAATTTTTCATCTTATATCGCACTATTTCTCTTCGCACAACTCTATCTTAAAATATAGTCACGAAAATTACCTTTTAAACATCTTTATATTAAAAAAATGCAAAAATTTATAAAAACTTTTAAATTAATCATTTCAGGAATATTATAGATAAATATATTTTAAAATAAAATTCTAAAGTTCACTTTGGAACGCCTATGCCATAACTATATTTAATATGATAGAATTTTGGTTAAATATTTTTTATTTAGATATTTTAAAAATTAATTAATTAGTCTTGAAATTTTAAAAAAATTATGAAAATTTTGTCATTATATTAATTAAAAAAAGTTATTACTAAATATTAAATTTAAGTATAAAAATACTAGAATCATACATAATATAAATTTAATTTTTCTAATAAATTCATGAATAAAAATAAAAAGTAAATATTAATTTTTAAGGGTAAAAAAATGATTGAAATTTTATATTTTAAAAAAATTAATCAATTTAAAAATATAAAGATAGAAAATAAGTTTTAAAAAAATTATCAGAATAAAAAAAATAAACTTTTTCTAAAGATTTATAGTTACAAAATAAGGTTTGTATAAAATATTATTATATTCCAAATATTGTTTTTAAAAACCTAAAAAGGTAAAAAAATAAAAATTTGGAAAGCTTTTAGATTTGTTTTCCAAAAAACATCCACAAGAACATGAAATCTCTCTTTCTTTACATCACTAACATCAAGATATAACAGTATACGAAATCTCATGAAACATTCTAAGAGCTTTAATCATAACCCCTCACTTGGCATACATCTCAACAATGGAACTCCCAAGGATCACATTGCCACAATACCTAAACTTTGGAGAAACAACAGAAGTAATCCTGTTGATGGCTTTGGAGAGTTTGATGGCGTGAGTCTTTAGTTGTTTCAGATGTTGATGCACTTTCCGGAGGGGAAAGGTCCTTAATCATGTGATTTAATTTAATTTAATTTTTTAATTTTTAAAAATAATTTTATAGATCTATTTTAAAATTTTTTTTTAAACATAAACTAAAAAATGTTTTATAATTACAATATTAAAAAAATATTTTATAAAAAAGAATGACAAATAATTACAAAACTGTGACAAAAGTTTAAAAATAATTTTGATAATTTATAATGATAAAAATAACTATTTAACATAATTATCGATAAAAATATTAATATTTATTAAGTTATTTTTAAATACAAATATCTTTAAAAAACCGTTAAACTATTTTAACTGTTATATTTTTTTAGTTTAAAAAAAACTAAAAATTAATTTTAAAATCAATAAACAAACAAATCATAAGACTAAAACATAAAGGAAAGTTTCAACTTTCACATTTCAAAATTTTTATAATAGATTTTAAATGATTCTGAAAACTGTATTCCGTAAGGATAAATTGTATTATAAGATGTCTTAACAAGCAATCCAAAATACATAAAAATAAAAGAAAATTGAATTACACGTTTTAAATCCCCATTCTCAAAAATATATTTCCCAGAGTAATTATGAATAGCATTTTCCAGAGAGAGGGTAAAGATTTTGAAAGATTATTATTCCTAACAGGGAGGTCTAAGAGGGTGAAAAAAGAAATTGCATTTTTCATTTTTTATTCCTGAAGAGAGAAAAACAAAGAGCTTTGTCTATTTCTCTTTCCTCTTTTGTGCAACCAATTAATATGTCAGTGATTTGGGTGAACATTCATCAAACAGTCCAAACAATAAAAACAGCTATAGAAGACAAAATATGAATCAGAAGAACAATAAGACACTTAAACTAGTATTAACAATATTTATATTGGAAAGAATTGGTGTCTGATCTATTGGACCTGAAAGATACACATAACAGAACCAAAAAATATTGAAAAGAATCACCAACCAGTCAATCATCCTAAATTCAGCCTCTCGGACCCAAATTCACACAACTGATCTTTCAAGTCTGAAAATGTATGTAGCCACAATCCATGCGACAATTACATTAGCATATAAGAAAGTATGAATTATAAACAATAAACGTTAAAATGCAAATCTTGAAAGAAATCACCAAAGAGTAACAAATTAGAGTCCAATTTAATTCACACTGGTCTTGTCCTGTTCCTGCGAGCTTCAGGTACATGTCCGAGGTATTCAACTCCTAATTAATTAACATGGTCGGAAAGGAATGAACCCGAAGATGACGAAGATTCCCGCACAGCACAGGCAACAACCTGCGCCCATTGCTTCAACCGAGTCTTCTTCACAGCCAAATCATCCCCTACACAAATAATCAAATTCACTCAGTTGAATCAAATTTTCCACACCCAACCTAACAGAAACTCTAATAATTTAACCATATAATCAAATTTGTACAATATTTTTTCCTGAGAAAAGTGGTAGAATGGATATTTCATTCCCCAGAAGTAGGAAAGAGCCGCATCAACCGCATTTTTTTCCCGCACGGGTAAGAATCACAATGAAACCACAATATCGGTCACAATTTAAAACCATTGTTTAAACCCAATTTTATGAGTTACACCAACTTAACAAATATCTAAACTCTTGTGAATTTTCAAGAAAAACTTTATGCACTAAATAATATCCTAGCTGCGATCAAACTTAAAAATAAAAGAGACTATAATGACAACTCGAAGTAATTTAAATTCAAAAACATTTCAACTCGATCCCCTTAATCCTAATGCATTCAACTCGATCCCCTAAACACTATTTGAAGTTCCAGTATGGTTAATAGTAAAAAAGGTGATTGAAGAGGAAGATTCCACCAAAACAATCGTCATCAACAAAACCAATCAATAAATTTGTAGAATTCAAATTGTTAAGATTCAAATTCGTAGAATGACAATATTTTTTTTGTTCAGCTTGTAGAATGACAATGTTATTGATTAAGAAGAAAAGTCAATTGAAATAAATTTATGAAGAGGGGAATTACCTGGATTGAATATGGTGGTGGGGCTAGAAGTGTCGCTATCGGATTGAAGGGACGACGAAGAGGAGGACCTAGAGAAACTGTGCTGGTTGTACTGTTTATTAACAGCAAGGTACAACTCCAAAGCGGGGATGGTATTCGACAGTTTCGGGTCAATTTCGGGCGAATCGAAACCAAACCCTAGGTCGATGCACGCCTTCAGTTCTTCCAAGTCGTCCTCCGACAGGCTCTTGCTCAGCCGGTGGCGACGGCGGTTCTCGCCGCTCACTTGGTGGTTGTCCTTCCTCCGCTGCCACGCCTCGTCCCGGAGCATGTCCGGCGACCACGACTGCTGCTTGTACAGTGGCCGCGGCGGCGGCGCGTGAGCACGATTTGACATGTTTTAGTGGGTGGGAGAGAAGTTTCTTTCGAGCCCCCAATGGTTTGATTTGTGGTTGATGGTTACGTAATTATAGTTGACACCTTTTATTTTATTTTATTCTTGACGGCTTATTTGTTTTTATTTTGCTATCAAACTGAAAACGTTTTATTTATTTATTTTTATATTAAAAATTAAAGCGTACAAGTCACTGGATGAAGAAGAATATTTTTTTTAGTCGGAATATACGTGGAGTTTCCTATTTTGGAGATATAATAATTCCCTTAAAATTCGATAAATGTGATTTTGTTCAGAATAAATTTGCTATAAATTCCAAATTAAGGACTATTTTAAAAAGAAAGTTACAGTTGTTCATTACTGTATTTTTGCATAAAAGGGAACTCGTTTTTGCCAAATAATCTGTTCTGTAAAGGAAAGTGTGTTTTTATATTTAAAATTATACACAGTCTGTACTCTACAGATCTAGATATTTCTTTTATTAGTGAACCAAACAAACTATCACCATATTCTCCATTTAACAAATAGGATTTTTTAATAACTTTTATTGATATTTTAGGTTTGTATAAGATGTGTGTATTGAAGTGTTATTTTATTTATATTTTTCTTTTAGAGAAAATATTTTTTAAATTATTTGAACGTTTTATTCTTTTGAAAACATATATGATAAATCTTACCACTCGGATGAAAACAAACTATTTTTTAGATATTTTACCGCTCTTAAATTAAAAAAAATGATCTATTATGATAATGTTGTATTTAAATATTTAAGGCTCACAAAATATATTTTTTTCATTTTTTTTAAATGGTTGTGATACCACATAATTGAAATATCTAAAATCAATTTTAAATGGATACGACTAACAAGAGTTATTATGCATGTCATTCTGTATTTGATTTGTTGAAATGATAATAAATAAAACAAAATGAAAATAATGATATGTTTATCTTCTTTTTGAAAAAAAAAAGATAGAGTATGTTAATGTAATTATAACAAAAAATAATATACAACATGTGGGGTTCGATAAGAAAAAATTTGATGATTTGGTCTACCATATATAAAACGTGATATAATTTTATACGATAGGTTAACAGATTAATTTAATTTAATTGAAAAAAAAAATATATTTATATAAATCAATTTATCCAAAAATATTAATTTTAAATAAAAAATTAAATTAAATTTAAGATATATTAATAAAAATAAATTTTATTTTAGATATAATAATTTAATATAATATAATAACCTAAAATAATAATTAATCTTATTAGATTATAGCAAAATAAATACAACAAATAAATCTCTAACTCTTTATATATATATATATATATATATATATATATATATATATATATATATATATATATATATATATATTAACACATATATCGGCATTCATAGATATTTCCAATCATATATACAAAATAATAAAATGATTATTATTATTATCAACATTTTATTGAAGACCAAGATTATCATATAATGATAGCTTATTTTTAGTTCAAAATCTTCATTTTATAATATTATACAAAATTAATAGTTATGAATAAATACTATTTTATTAAATATGTGGTGTCCAAAATAAATGTGTTGGAAAAATTTGGCTCATGTATATATATGATACATAATTTAAATGTGTTAGGGCCATTATTTATTAAGCCAAATAATAAAGTGATCTGACTAAATTAAAGTTTTGGCTAAAGGCATATGTCATGAAAATAAAATTGTGTAGAGACTATAGAAGCAATTTCTAATTTGATGAGGGTCAAATTGGAAATACTAAAACTTAAGTAATTAACCTAATTCTGGTTATCTAAAGGGTCATGGTCCCCTTCGGGAGCACGTAGGCGAACGTAAGTTTCATTCCTGTTCCTTTCTTTCTATCCCCATCAAGAGAGAAAATCAAGAGGGAAATACAGGTGCTCTTCAGATGGAAGACCATAAGATCAATATAGTGCTCTACAAAGACATTATCATTATGGTTAATTCAGGTACGCTTTCGCATTCAGTTTACAGCATGTTTATCAGTATGAGATTATGTTTATGTTTGATCGTTAGAATCAAAATCAGGATTATTATTATTATTATTATTATTATTGTTTTTCCAACAATTGGTATCGAGTCGCCCATATTTGATTCATGTCTCGTTTAATTTATAGAACCCTAATTATGAAAATTAGGATTAATTTTGTTTTAAACAATTCAAATTACCCAATTTTATGAACCATAAGTGGAGGATAATCTCTAATTTTTGTGAACCCTAAAATTTAAATTTGGGGGTAACATCCCCAATCTGATTCCAGTTCTTGATGGAACACGTGGAGGAAGCTATGGATTCTTCTTCTTCTTCTTCGTTTTTCCCTTTTGTTTCAGTTTAAGTTTCAAGTTTTACTGAGAAAGAAACGAGTGTTTCATATTTCAATTTTTCTTGTATTGGGTTCTCTCGTTCTTTTTTGAATCTTTTGTTTTTATTTAATTTTATGAGTTTGGAATTGGGGGTGGTGTTTGTGGAGTTCCCAACACGGATAATCTTAGGTAAATGATGAATGTTTCCACATGTGTGTCTCGTTATTATTTTATTGCCTCTATCCCTTAGGAATTTAAGGAAAATTTGATGTTAAATTAGGGTTAGAGTGATTACTTGTTTAATTCCCTTTTAGGGTTTAGAGCAAGTATGCTAAAGAGACTCGAACTATCTCTCGTTTCATCCCTAGTGTGATTTTAGGGAGGTGTTCATCCTTAGTAGAATTCTAATGAGGTAATTCTCTTTTGAATTAGTTTGCAAATATTAAATATTTGGTTTTGTTATATAAATAAAATATTCAATTTTTGGTAGTTTAATATTTTTTGTGAGCAAATTGAGTCAAAAAGTCACCAAAGTAACTTCTCTTGAATTGGGCAATTCATGAAAAATATTGAATGTTAGTGTTTGTGTATATTCATGCGAGTATTAGTCGACCCAAAGGAAGATTAATATTTGGCCGAATTGCATACACACTTGTAATGATAAACATGTGATAATTATAAGGATTTGCTTTGTCGATGATAAATCAATCCAAAGACTGGTTTGTTGTTGGACGTGCTTTTTTGTCAATGTTTGATTATTACAACAAGATACCTCTAGCAGATTAATATTACTGTCCAAAGACTTGATATTGATGGTGCATTGGGTGTCTTGAGATGGGTTAAACCACTATTTGAATATATATTATTTATTTTTTATATAATGTGAGCATAATTAGTTTATTTCTCGTGTTCTAAATTCAAGCTACAATTGCTTACTATCTACGCCAATTTAAATTACTCTTCGAGTCCTCGATAGAACAAATTTTAAGGACTAGAAAGAGAACATTGATATTGTTCTTGGTTGCATGGATATGGATCTTGCGTTAAGTGAACTAAGTAACGCCCTACTCCTACGATTAAGTTACCTTTGAATAGAAAAGAGATTTATGAGAAGTGGGATCGCTCAAATCGCATGAGTCTAATGATCATTAGCGCGGCATCCAGGAGGTGTTTAGGGGCACTGTTTCTGAAAACATTACAAGTGCCAAAGAATTTCTTCTTGAAATTGAGCAGCGCTTTGCAAAAAGTGATAAGGCGGAGACAAGCACTACTTCTCGAACTTGATCTCCATGAAATATCAAGGCAAAAGAAATATCAGGGAGTACATTTTGAGGCATGTCTAATATTGTTTTTAAACTCAAGGTACTAAAGCTTGAACTCTCAGAAGACTTGCTCACTTCATTTGGTGTTGATTTCTCTTCCTCCAACGTTTAATCAATTTAAGGTATATTACAATTGTCATAAGGATAAATGTTCTCTTAATGAGCTCATTTCACATTGCGTACAAGAAAGAGAAAAGACTAAAAGCAAGACAAGACAGAAAGTGCTCATTTTGCAAGCACCTCCAAGGCTAAGGGCAAAAGAAAGAGAAGAGATAAGGATCTCGAAAAAGAAGGTGCTAAGGGTCCGAACAAAAGAAACAAACTCAAGAAAACAAATGTTTCTTTTGCAATAAGGCTGGAACACAGTAAAGAAGAAATGTGTTAAATATCATGCTTGGCGTGAAAAGAAAGGGTTGCCTAAACTACCGGAAGCCAATTGATTATGAAAGATGGATTTATGTTGGAGATGGAAAATCGTAGAGGTGGAAGCTATAAGGCATTTTAAATTGTTATTAAGTCGTCGATTTTTATTTGGATTTGAAAGACACTTTTGTTGTGCAGGTCATTTAGACGGAATTTGGTTTCAGTTTCTTATTTGGACAAATTAGGTTATTTATGTTCATTTGGAAACAATGAGTTCAACTTGTCTTTTAATTCAGATATTGTTGAAGCTGGTTCAGCTTTTGATTTATGATAAGTCAGAGTATTTACTTGATATTGTGGCCAGCAACCCTTTAATCACTACAAGAAATATTAAAATTACGGACGGTCAAAACTGTCGATACAGTAATAAAAATCCGTGTAGTAAATGAATATTACGCGAATCACGACAGCCGAAACGGTCGGAAATTCGCATTTGTCGGTAAATATTACGGACAGATTTATCCGATCAGTACAATATGTTACAAATTACCAGACGGATTTATCCGATCGTAATAATTTTATTAATTATTAAATATTTTACTTATTTATAACATTATTTTTTTTATAGAACCCCTCCCCCTTATATTCTTATTATTTATTATTAATTATTTCTCCATATTATATTTTTATAACTTTGAATTATTGTCAGATTAAGAGAAATGTCATTGGCAGGATTCGAACCCAAGCATCTTAGAGTCGAAGATCGATACTCCAACCATTAAGCTACTGAATTTCTTGATAACAATTTACAAATAAATTATATTTATATACAAATATACAAATACATTTATATATATTTATATATATTTATATACATTTATATATATTTATATATATTTATATATTTTTTTTATATATTTATATATATTTATATATATTTATATATATTTATATATATTTATATACATTTA